TGAATACATAAATAAACAAAAATTTCACATTTGGCGCTCCGAGAATCCGCAAATATTTGAAGCGAGGGTGTTACAGACAAAAAAAACTTCAGTATCTGTTGCGCTCTTTGGTCTGGAGATGTGGTTGGAACTAATCTCTCTGATAACTACAACAGCGAGGCTGTCACATTCAGTTCGCTATGGTTGTATGATAACACTACTTGGACAACATGAGGTGTAACAATTAAGTAAGGAGGCCATAAAAACCGTATATTTCAAAATTATTCTACAACTCTGCCAATCCCCTCAAAGTAGTCCCCTTAGGCAGCTATAAAACGATTACGTCGCGATTTCCATGATTCGTAACATTTCAGGAATGCTTCGACTAAGATGTCCGCGAGTAATCCCATCACAAATCAAAATGTGTTTCTTTGAAAACCGATTTTGTTCTAGGGAACTAAAAAGTCACTGGGACACACTGAAAGCAGTGTGGCACGGCGCGTTGTCGTGATGAAGGATCCAGTTACGAGCGATGTATGGTCGCACTCCGTTCACTCGTTTTCGCAATTTTTCGAGTACTTGACGATAGTAGACTTGATTTACTGTTTGCTCCGGTGGAAGAAATTCTTTGTGGACGCTTCCACGGCTATTAAAAAAGACAATAATCATCGTTTTCACCGTCAACTTGCTCATGCATTCGGTGACAACCAATGTAAGCTTTGGTGTTTGGTTTCCTGGTAGCATTGAAAAAACCAGCTCTCATTCACAATTTTTGCGTTTTTCGTTTCCGAAGTTGTTCCGCTGTTGGAATTCCATGCAAAAAATTATTTTTGTTAATTTTGTTTATGTTTATTCTCCGTACCGACGAGTTTAAAAACTTTTCAAAACTCTAAAATCCTTTTTTTTATACACAAATTGTTATATTTAATATGTGAAATCAGTTTTTTATATTGAAACGGGGTTTCATTTTTAAATAGCTGGCAACCCTGTTCAAAAATATTATTCTGTTCAGCCTCTCTTTAAGCTCTTCAGTTTGTTACCCATTTGGTAATATTTCATTATTTTATCCCTTTCTTCCATTTTAAATGTCAGAACAGGTGGTAGCTCTGCGAATTGTAAATCTGAACATACCGTACATACAATACTTTTCTCAATGTCAATTCAGCCATTTGTATATTTGAGTTCAGACGTGGACGAAGACCCTATGATAATTAAAAAAATTTCAAAACTGTTGGCTACTCTAATGAATTATATATTGAATACTCTTGTGCAGATAAACAAAATCTAATTGAATTGGGCTATGCCTTGTGTAATGAGAGCACTAAAGTTCTTTCATTGTATTTTGGATTGAATTGCATTTGAGTTGAACTGAGGTTGGTTACTCAAATTTCTGCTGTTGGCTGATCAGTCCCTTCCGAATTCTTGTGTATAAGTCGGTGCTGGCATAGCTACGATTTTTAACATTCGTATATTTTAACATATTTATGTTCGTGAATACACACATATATATATATGTGAAAACAACGTTCGATGTCCTAATGCACCAATGTGACTAGAAATTGCAATCAACGCTGTTGCATATGTATGTATTTACATATCTGCGTTAGTGTACACAAACTGCAATTTTGATAACGGTGCGGAACCTAAGAGCATTAATTTCATTCCCACACGAGCTCTAACCTGTTTATCCTATTCCAATTAGCTTGGGAAATGTGTTCGAAATCAATGTGATAATTTCTATGACAGCATCACGTTTGCCGCAACAACTAGGAACTAATCGCATCTAAATGGTAATTGAGTTAGTATGGATTTAGTTACTCATATTGCGGAATTTAAACACTTACATACATATATATAAAATATTTCTGTTATGTGTACCACTAGGCATGGTCCGATTTGGTTTATAGAGTAATATACATATATGTGTATATATATATATACGCAAAAAGTATGTTAAGGGCTTAAGGCACCAGTGCATCGTCTTGGATATATAAAAAAATAAGTTTTATTTCGATATTAACCGAAAGGGAATGCTGTCTAACGATAATAATAAAATGTTAACAGGAAATGTTAAGAGTCGTTAAAGTTAAGTCTTTAACAGATGAAGTTAAGTTAGCAGATTATGTACAACGTCGTTAATGTTAAGTCTTGTTAACAGATGATGTTAAACGTCGTTAGTGTTTAGCCTTTAACGGATAATGTTAAACGTCGTTAATGTTGACTTGTTAACAGATGATGTTAAACGTCGTTAGTGTTAAGTCTTCAACAGTTGAAATTAAACGTCGTTAATGTTAAGCTTTTCACAGATGATGTTAAGTGTCGTTAATGTTAAATCGTTAACAGGTAATGTCATTTACATGCGCTGTTAATATCAAAGTAAGCAGCATCTTTTAAACTAATGCTAACGATGAGTTTGTGCGGTTTTAACATAACACATTCATTTCGTTTCGATAACATGACGACGAAGCGAAACAAAATCAATTCGTAAAGTTTATTTGTCATATTAATCAAGGCATCGTTTCATTATTTGAGTCTGCTATAACAGAGAGACTACATATTGTCAGCCTGTCAATCAAGCCTGACAACATTCAGATCAGTTACATTAACTTGTTATTTAAATTAAGGTAGGGGGTGCCCACAATCAGAGAGTGCCCATGACTGATTCACTTACCGAATTTACTAGCCTTAAGTATTATATTTAACTATCCGATGAATTCAGCCCAAAAACGTATGTATATCATTAAATGCATGTTGTTCTTGTTATTGTTGTTGTTGGAAGCGGGAAGATATTCCCCTAAGTACTTTTTGGGGAATGTTGCGGGAGTGGCAGTCCTTGGCCGGATAAAAATCCGGGTCGTTCCGGTACAAAGACCTGACTGTCGCGCGAACTATTGGATTTTAGTCGCCTCTTACAACAGGTATGCCTTACCGCGGGCAAATTATTGAACCCCTAATCCGCAGGGTTAAATTCATCAAATAAGGCGGTTAACGAAAAAGTTAATAAAATGTTCATATGAATCATTCACACAAATTTGTTTCACATTTTGTGTACGGTATCCCACTGTACACTTTTTCACGGCTTCGAATTTTTAAACATCATTTTTCAAAAGCTTTTTGGCAGCTAAAGAAAGCATGCGAAAATCGGTTTCTATATTAAAAGTTATAAATAATCAGCATTCGATTGGGATTGTTACGTTTCTTTCATTATTTCCGAATGTCATTCATTTTACATGGCCTCAAAAGTTGAAGTTGCTAGCTATAGAAATTTTAGTAAAAAAAGGAATATTAGTATTGATCACTTAACTCAGTAGATTTTGAGTTGAAGAATCGTCAAAGATAGTCTCCAGCAAAGAGGAGATAAGTTACATATTTTCTACAATTTTCCTTCGATAACTTCGATAAATGTGAACACATAAGTCGGGCGGGTGAAAAAGCGAATTGTATTTATGGTACTGTACATTTTTGCTTTCGTCGATTTTATTGCGGTAATTTTGATGTACAAGGTGCTCCACGGTGTGGTAGACCGATTGTCAATAAAATAAAGGAGATTTCCTTGAGACTAACCGTAACGCAGGTAAACATTGCACTAAAAACAGTTCGAAACCACTTTAAAGAAGCTGAATACAAAATGCAGCTCGATGTATGGATGCCACATGAATTAGCGACAATAAATTTTTTGGAACGCATTGCCATCTGCAAAGTATTCCATTACCATTCCCGTTTCTGTACTGACTAATTAGAAAAAGTGGATCCCTTACAGCAACATCAAATAAAAATTGTCGTGGTCGGTCGAAGGGTCGTGTGTCGGAACATACAAACGGTCTTTATCGATAGTTACTCACCAGAATCTCCGACAATTTGTTTGGGAGGTTCCTATCCATTCACCTTATAGTCCGAATTATTATCTTTTTCTGTGTATGACGAATGATTTCGCTGATGAAGAATCGGCCTCAAGAGAAGCCTTTGGAAATTCATTGCCCCAATTTTTGTAAATAGTGATATGGGTTTCTCTGGGAAAGGCATAATGGCATTACCTTTAAAAAGATATCGAGCAAAACGATGCATATTTTACATAAATCGGATAATTATATTGTTCTAATATATGAACCTTGGAACATAATGTCCATTTTGGAGTGCCATAAGATCCGAATGCTGCTTTTTGGGTATTTGAAGTTAGATCGAGCTGTTGCAAGTTAAGAGAGGAAGTGATTTAATTTATTCGCAAACCATATCAAACTAAGACCTTCGGCTAAAGCGTTTTTTTTTTTCATTACGAAGTAATCAAATTTTTTTTTTTATAATTCAAGAAAATTTATTTAACACAGAGTTTAACTTCACAAATTGACTTAGAATATTATGAAACAGTGCAAAAAGTGAACACAATTAAATTTGGAATTGTTTCATTGTGTTTGGTGTTCACACATATTCAATTAAGTTGAAAAGAGAAGAAAAAGATTTTTATAGCCTAAGCAACTCATCCTTTGGATTCTTGATTTTTATGCAAATCTAATTTTGATCTCAATTAGGAAGTGTTCACAGACTACATTTTAATTGAAATACGTGACACAGTAAAGACCTTCAATCTTTAACACCAAATAAATGTACCCAATAAGCATATGTATTTAATTCACTTATTTTAATTTTCAGTTAACGAATAACTTCCATGAGTTTTTTTTTTCAAGTTGATAACGTTATAGTTAGGGCTTCAACTGTTGAAATGCCCTAAACGGAACCTGTGTGAACAGCTTTGTCTTAATACTGTGTGAACAGCTTTGTGAACAGCTTTGTACTAATACTTACTTAGAGATACTTCTTATGGCTGAATGGAATTCACCACACAAAACTCACCATTGTGAGCCGTGTTAGTTTTCGTATTGTGTTAGTGAGCGCAAATTGCTGCTCTTCCAATTTCAAATTCAAGTTGAATTTTTATGACATTCCGCTACAATTTTTATTTCTTCTTAATAACTCAATAATGCGTTTATTTACGCATATAAAACTAGATTCTGAAAAACACTCACCTGCCGTACAACCACATTCACCTGAATGCGTCTGCTGCTGCTGCTGCTGCTGCGGTGTCTGCAAGAGTAATCCATCCACCGTGGTCACCGTCGCCAAACTTGTCTGACGACGCTGTTGTTGACGACGCGACAATTGCAAGTGGGAAACATCACGACGTAAGCGATGCAAATCGCTCACCTGACGCGACAATTTGTGCAATGTTTGTGTCACATCCAGGGACAAGTTTGGTTTCGGTTCCGTCACTTGCTGTTGCTGTAGCTGCTGCTCGTCGCGATTATGCAAATTACTACTGCCCAGCAGCTCAACACTATCAGCTACACCACTTAGCGGCTGCTGCCGCTGCTCACATAATTGCAATCTCAACTCCAGCGCATTTATTCGTTCGTCCAGTTGCAAGAGTTTTCGCAAACGTACTTCATTGCGCGAATGCCGATCGATGCTGTAGAACGCTAAGCCGCAAGCAATGAGGCAGAGCATAAAAAATATTACATTGAATATATGAAATACTGTATTGGCGCCGCGATTATCGGGGCTGGTCCAGAGTGATGGGAAAAATGCGGATTTGTGATTTGCTTTCTCTGCAGTGCCCAGCGTTGATTTGGTGGGGACGGCAGCAATGGTGCGTGCTTGTTGTGTTTGTTGTAGCCGCTGTTTTTGTTGTGGTTTCTGTTGCTGTTGTCTCAACAGCCCTGAGCTGCTGCCTTTGTTCTTGCACTTATTATGATTTTCGTTATCAACTGACGGCAGGCGACCAGCAAACGCTGCCCCTGATTGCTGCGTCGATGTTGCTGCACTTGTTTTTGGCGCATATGCTGCACTTGGCAGCTGTACTGTTGTTTGTTGACCATGTAATTGATGCGTCGCTCGGTCTATTGTTGTTAACAATGCGCTGCCGCTGCAGCTACTGCTCTTATTATTATGATCATCCTCTAACGATGTTGCTTTGGCGTTCAAGGACATTTCGTGCTGGTATATACTGTTTGGACGTCTCATGTCAACATTGGCCGCACTGTACGTTGTACTTTCAGTTTCTGTTTCTGTTGTGGTGGTGGTGGTGGTGGTGTTGGTGTTCGTGTTGGCGTCCGCTAACAACGTGCTTGCCGCTGTTGTGCCAATTGTTGTTGCTCTTACTCTGCTTGCTTGCGTTGCGGGCACTTGCTGTTGCAGCTGCTGCTGTTGTTGATGTTGCTGCGGCATTGCTGTGCACGACAATTCTGTTGTTGTTTCGCGCGTTTGGCTTTGTTCAATGCTCGCTGGAGCCGTAGTCGTCGTTGCGCTGATTGCTTGTCCTTGTTGCGGTGTCTTGTCTTGGGGCATTATTTGCTACTACTTGCGTCAGTCACACTCACGCTTGGGCACGAGTGCGCTATGTTGCAATAACAGTTGCTGACGACTTGCCGTATGCTGGCTGTGACGGACGTGCAATTACTACTCTACAGCGACTATTTGCTGCACTCTGTGCTCGTTTTTGTTATTTTTGAGGTAATGTTTTGATTTTTCATTTATTTATTTATTTTTTTTTGTATTTTTTTTCTTTTTTTTCTGTTTCTTCTTCTACGCTATTAAATCATCCGTACATTTCGTGTACACCGTTAAGAGCAGTATATTACATTCCAACCTTGCCAAGCTATCCTGCTGTGCAACGCATTGCGCTGACGTTTCGTTGTTGGCACAAAATACCGTTGTCCTGCCGGTAGGAGTACAATATACGAGTATATGTATGTGTGTAATGTGTGCTCAGTTATTTGTGCCTGTAGAGTATAGTGTGTGTGTGTGTGGGGGGGAGGATGTCAAGGTTGCCTTTTTTTGATATGAATAACTATTCTGGTGAGTCAGGTTGCTCTTGGTTGCACTTTATGTATTTTCCTAATTTTTTAGATTTTGTTGTTGTGCTTATGTAACTGTTTCTTGCTATGTTCACTTTATCTGCAACGTCATAGTCATTTTACGCATAGAACGGCATTGTGTTTAATCAAACGCGCTCAGTTTCTTCTTGGACTGTCGTCCCTTTTCGAAACACACGCAAAACTTGTATCTAACAGCTAACGGTTCTCACATCAACCCACCTCTTTGTTTTATTTTTTTTTTTTTTGGTTTTTTTTTTTGGTTTTTTTTTTTTTGGGATATACACAACCGCTCAAGCTCTGTAATGGCTTTGTTGCGCTTTTTATGCTGCTGCTCAAGTTGGCTTCGAAAGTAGCCTCGGGTCAGGTTGATGCTCCTTTTTCCGTATTCACTGCCGGTTTAATGTATCATCTTTTTTATACCGTTTTTTTTTTTGAAGTTTTTTTTTATTTGATACTGTATTTGTTTGAAAAAGGCTTGTACTACTTCTTTTGTTGGATTTATTAGTTGCGCTTGCTCTTCATGTCGCCCAAAAGACAAATAAAGGGACGTTGCTTGAGAAAGGAAATAAAGCAATTTTTACATATAAATATGTAGTTTATATACATTTATATGTATATATGTACATATATTCCTTTTTACACAAAAACAAGTTTGCACTGTGTTCTGTTGTTGCTTCTTCGTTTTCGCCTGCTACAATCTTGTGTTTCACTCGTAATGCTGTCGATCCACTTCCACTTCCTTAACAGCGGCGGCTATATAGCGTAGCGTTGCCACTTGGTGTTGTGTGCTGGTTTGACAAGTTTTTGACAGTCTGCTGCGCTACTTGCAACAACTGGCAATTGTCGTCTCGAACATTTTAACAAAGCGCCACACACTCGCCGCTACCACTTTTGGGCACACGCTGTCTAGCAAGTTTTCCGTTCTTTTTGCCTTTCCACTTTATTACAGTTGTTGTGTCTTAGTGTACTTGTTTCAACTTGGTTGTGGCAACTTTAGTAGTGTCACACATTAAATTTTATTTCCTCTTTTTCACGTTCCACGTTGCTTGTCCTTATAGCAAAAATTGCCAAGTTGTCATTCTATATATTTTTATTTATTTATTTTTTTTTTTTTTCATTTCGTTTTTGGAAGAAAAAAGGGAAAAAGTTAAAATTAAATCGACATGTAAAATGAAATAAAAAGAAATGCATATATTTATTTTGTTCTAAATTCATGTATTGGAATTTTGTGCAGACAACCGATGAATGTTAGAAAAACTCTTGCCACACACACACATACATATCAAATATCAAATTGTCTACATTTTTTAGAGCACAACATACATACATATGTACCTTTTTTATCATTGTCGGTCAGTTTCCATTGATTGAAAGCCGTCGAGCGCTTGATTTGCGCAACGTGCTGACCATGCCACCGATATCAGCCGCATGACACGTGCCACATTGTATTGTGAAACATATAAAAAAATGTTCAGCAATTTTCAAGCACAATTTCGAAAACCATTGGCATTCTAGTCCTCTACTGTGTGCTAAGATAAGGTCAATAAGTTGTTGGCGCATGTTTTGCTTTGATTACGTCTAACCGGTTAGGTCGGCTGCCAGAATGAGTAGGCTTAAAATGGCAAAACGTGAATTTACTTTTCCCTCGTTTTTCTCCCGAAATTCCTGAAGCGCTAAACAGTTTCTTTATGTACCGTAAAATTCTTAACCGAACCGCAAAGACGATAGCCTATTTGCGTTAACTACGACATACAAGCAGAGGTATGTATTCGAGCTTAGCCCTCGTGCATGGGTTGGGCATTCCATCGAAATTTAGAGTTCGGTACTTTTGGAACGTAGTAGAGTGGTTATTATGGCATACAGCTATTCAGTAGACCAGAGCTCTATTCCTGGTTCGATCAAAGTTCAAAAATAGAGCAAATTAATTTTTCTAATTGCACTCACCCCTCGACTCGGGAATATCAACCCCTCCGAGTGCATTTCGGACATGAAATAAAAACTCTTCATAGAAAACCATCAGCCGATTGGAGGGCGTTTAGTATAAACTGTAGGTCCCTTCATTTGTTGGAAAAACGTCAATACGCAAAACCACAAATTGGAAGAGGAGCTCGGCCGAAAATCGCTTCAGTGGTAACAAAGAGCCAGTTGTGTATATTAAAATGACACCGAATTTCATCAACAAAATATACAACAGGTCCAACAAAGACCAAACTCTACTCACCCTCATCATTCCCAAGATATGATGAGAGGACATGGACGATGTCAACAACTGATGTGTCGGTGTTGGCAGTTTTCGAGAGAAGGGATTTAGGCAAGGTTAGGTGCCGTGATGTGTTTTAGCACAAGAACAAAGGCCTTATGACTTATAAAGTTCAGTTAATATAAGAACTAAAGCCGGCCAATCAACAACAACGCCGCGATTTTGCTGATTTGATGCTTGAAATGCATTAAGCTGATCTGGAATTTCAAAGTAAAATGATCTTGACTGATGAGGTCCATTTCCACCTCGATGGCAACGCCAATAAGCAAAACTGTCCCACCCGGAAAATTATGCCCGGAAAACCCAAAATTTATTATCGAAAAGTCTTTTCATCTTCAACGTGTTACCCTTTCGAAAATGCGGCTGGAGTAAAAGTTACGGTGAATGAATGGTATTGAGCTAGACAACGTTTATCCTCATCTTAACGACGCTACAAGCCCCGCCAGCAACGAAACCATCGATCTTTTAAGGGACTTCTTCCTTGGGAGTCACATGAAAGAAAAGGTCTACGCTAACGAGCCGATGTCTTGAATGGACGAAATTCATAAGGTTATTGAGGGCTTACAGCAGCCAGTAGGATGCAGTTCTTTAAGCGTAGCGTGCCGACCATTGGGCTGATATTGTTTTCCATTATTAATGGCATAATTTCGTCTTTACATTGAATGAAACAGCTGATTATTTATCACAACAAAAGGTGATTTTCTTTGAATATCGAAATATCACCTCTTAGTGGAAAACCTTGTACTAAATACATCTGATTCTGAGCACCTATTTATGCCCATAAATTCACTCGCTTATCTTGTTGCTGTTGATGTGGCGCTCCTCTGGTTGAACGGAAAATTCTGCCTGTGGAGTTCTTGAATGATGCATATTCAACAGACTGAGTCATTCAGTGGCTTAAAACTGTTGATGAACATCAAAAATCAGACAACTCGTCTGAACACGTGACACTCCCAGCGCTAATAGATGCAAATGTACACTTAAAAAGAAAGCGGTTTCTTCGCCTGAGATATACTTTTAATACTTTGGATCCTCAATTAATGCATTCCCCCTCTAAGCTTTTAAAGCTTATTTAATTAAGGCTTTTATGTAATTTGCACAATTAGCCACTGCATTGAACAATGTTATACACTTACGTACATACACGTATGCATGTTTTTAGTTTGTGTTTTTCCCCGTATTGAATGATGAAATAAATTTATAATAATTTACAAATAATCACACATTCACACACGTACGTATTCTCATATGTTTATTTACATTTTTAAATTTTTTTGCAAAACTTGCAGCTCTTGGCACTCTTGCCGCTAACGATTTTCACTCGAATATTTGTCAGTATTAAATTTGTAGTCGGACGGTGAGCGTCGTGTTGTTATTAGCGATCAAGCAAGTGAGTGCACAATTCATGAGATAATTTAATACAAAAATATATATATATATAAATATATATAATATTGCGCTTAAAAGTAAATAAATAAGCACGCAATAAAATAATGAAAGCAAACAATCGTGGAGGCAAATAAAGAAGTAAAAAAAAGAGTAAATGTTTTGCCGGCTATGTAGAGAGTATAAAGCATAATAACAGCGAGTGTGTAATAAGAAGTTCAATTTGATGATGAGATTTTAATGATTTCCACTTGTGATATGCAAAATAGTTTTCGAGTGATATTTATGTGTGTTACATATGCACATGCGTATGTGAAAAAGTATAGCGAGAACTTATATAGAACCACAAAACCGGCACATAAATTTCATCCGTCAGTAATGTTAAATCGTTAACAGATATTGTTAAGTGTCGTTAATGTTAAATCGAAAACAGAAAATATTAAGGGTTGTTAATGTTAAGTTTTAAACAGATAATGTTAAACGTCGTTAATGTTATATATTTAACAGATAATGTTAAACGTCGTTAATGTCAACTTGTTAACAGATAATGTTAAACGTCGGATAATGTTAAGCGTCGTTAATGTTATATATTTAACAGATAATGTTAAAAGTCGTTAATGTCAACTTGTTAACAGATAATGTTAAACGTCGTTAATGTTAACTAGTTAACAGATAATGTTAAACGTCGTTAATGTTATATATTTAACAGATAAAGTTAAACGTCATTAATGTCAACTTGTTAACAGATAATGTCAAACGTCGTTAATGTTAAATATTTAACAGATAATTTTACACCTCTTTCAAGTTAGATGGTTAACAGATAATGTTAAGAGTTAAGAGTGTTAATTAGATAACAAATAATTTTAATCGTCTTTAATGTTAAATCTTTAACAGAAAAAGTTAGGTGTCGCTATATGTTAAATTTTTAGACAGATAATGTTGAACCTGTTGTATGCTGTTAATAGCAAAGCAAGTAGGTTTTTTAAACTAATGTTTACGATGAATTTGTGCGGTTTCAACATTAACAATTTCATTTCGTTTCGATAACATGGCGCCAAAACGAAACCAAATCATTGCGTTAAATTTATTTTTCATATTAAAAAAAATCGAAATGGAATTGTTTCCTTTCGTGGCGAAGTAGGTAAGAACTATGCTTACCCCGTGGTATTATTACGATTTTTTCGCATCATTCTGCGTTTACATATAAATTTAAAATTTTATAAGTAATTAATAAAATTGAATTCTTGTATTAAAAAACGAAAGGAAATATGAAAAAATGTTATGTAATTGTAAATACATTTAAATAGACGAACGAACTTGTTAAACGTAATTGTTAGGCTACAATAACGAAAAGAAAGCACCCATTAAACCTTCCCTTGCTCCAAAGAAAGAAAGTAAATAGACTTTACATTTGCTTTTTACAACGTCTTGTTAATTTTCAGCGTTGAATTCAGGTTTCAAAGAAAGATACAGATTCCACTTTACCTCTTCGTTTCCAAGACTCTTTTTTTTGCTGCTGGGTATGTATGTATGCATATTATTTACCTTCAAGTGTGTGAAGTTCACTGATAGTGAGTGGGAAATCACAATACTCTTAAAAGGTGATTCATCACGTATCGTTGTGATATTTTTTTTTTTTTTTGGTGAGTTACCGTTGTTATTGTCAAACAAATTGAAAAACTTAAACGACTTATTTTTGTACGTAAATATTTCATTCGAGTTGAGCTTTTTACATGTTAAATAAACTGATAATAAAAAAATATTTTTTGCAACGTAAAAATTTCACATGTGAAGCAGTTTCTGGGGGTTTTAAATAGTAAATAAATAACTATTATTGTAATAACTATTATCGCTGTTAAAAATTCATATTAAATCACAAAAATGTTTAAGGTCAAATGAGTTTCATAAATTAAATACAGTTAAATTTGCAATATTAAATATAAATAAACCAGAATTAATTGTCTAACAAACTCTTATTTATTAACATATGTACATATGTATACAAACAAACATGCAGAAATGAACTTTTCATTGAATATAAAAAGTTTTAACTCAAAATATGGCCATATATATATGTATTATCCGTTTGGTTGCTTAGCAAACTGTAAATACAATTAATCCCACGCACTTATATATATATATATATATATATGCATTTATTAATATATACATACACACATATTTTTGCTAATCTGCATCTACATATGACAGAATATTTTTTACCTCAATGCAGTTGACGGCATTTCATCGCACATTTGTGGTATCGCAGCTCACACGTATTCTCTAATTCTCTTGCTCTCACAAATATTTTATGACTCTAAATGCTATTAATTACATAAATATATTTTTATATATATGTACAATGTTAAAAAGTTGCAATGAGTTTTCACTAAAAATTCGTTATGAAATTATTTAAATAAATATAAAATGCATCCTCTCTTCTCTCACTAATATTGTACACCCTACCCCAATGGCAAATTATTACTCAGAGAGTTAAATAGAAGCAATACACGTCACTTGTACCTATTTAATTCGTTGGAAAAGTTATTTACTAAGCTATGAACTTATTATTTATGAAACTCAGAATTCCGCTAACTGAAAATTTATAATTTTAAGAGAGAACTTTTTTACGGCAAACAAATTATGGTGCAATATTGGTAATGATTCATTTTCTTCGTTTTCATTGGCGTGGTCACCGCTTACGCGGTTATAGCCGAGTCAGCAATAGCGCGCGTTTTGTTCCTTGTGTCCGCTGTTTGGCTCTAGTTGGAAATAGCAAGTGAAGCTAGGTCGCTCTCTGCCTGGTCCTTCCGACGGGGCGATCTGGATTATTTCATGCATACGGACGACAAAACCTAACCAGCGTAGCCGCTGCTTCTTGATTCGCTGAACTATGTCATTGACAATTATACTGGTTACGGTACTCGCCGTTACCAGTGCGCAAAGGACCATAAAACTTACGCAAAACCTTTCTCTCGAAAACTCCTAACGCCGACTCATCAGATGTTGTCATCGTCCATGCTTGCCCACTATACAGCAGGACGGAAATGATGAAGGATTTGTAGAGTTTGGTTTGCGTTCGTCAAGATTTTGCTCTTCAATTGCCTGCTTAGTCCAAAGTAGCACCCGTTGGCAAGAGTGATTCTTCGTTGGATTTCAAGGCTGACGTTATTATTGGTGGTAAAGCTAGTCCTTAGATAGACGAAATTATCTACCTCTCCAAAGCTTTGACCATCAACAGTGACAGCTCTCTTTCACTACCAGACCCGTTCGCTTCACCGCTTTGCCAAATCTGGAGAAAGCAGAATTAACGGCACGGTTGTTGAGGCCAATAATGTCGATATCATCGGCGTACGCCAGCAGCTTTACACTATTATAGAAGATTATACTTTCTCTATTCAACTCAGCAGCTCGTATTATTTTCTCGAGCATCCAATTAAAGAAATCACACTAAAAGGAATCAGCCCCTTTGGTATTGAACGGCTCGGAGATGTTCTTCCCGATCCTAGCTTACACAGCCTTATAAGTTTGGCAGGGATGCAAAATTCAGACATAGCGGCGTAGAGTCAGCTTTTTCTCGTGCTGTCGAAGGCTGCTTTAAAATCGACTAAGAGGTATTGTGTGTCGATTCTGGATGGAGGCACCTACAGTTTATACAAAGCCGCCACCGAAAGGCTGATGGTTTTTTACGAGGAGCCTTTATTTTAAGTCCGAAATACACTCTGAGAAGTGGATATAATTTTTTATAACGTTTTGGATGTTAATATGAACCAGGATTAGAATCCGAGCATTCCGAATGGCAGTACGCAATGCTCTCGGCTACAACGGTCGTCATATAACTTTTCCTTTATTTTTGTAAATTTTTCTAAGACATTAAGAAATTTTTGCTTTTCAATAATTGAATAAAATTCATTTGTAATTTGTTTGATCAAATAATTGCTTCAAACAATTCACAATATTTAAATCAATTAATCTTTCGACTTGAGGAATTCGATGTATACATATACATAATTGGTCACATGTAAACCATGTAAATTCCACCATATACTACACATATATCATTTCAATTTCATTGTGTCTTTTTTTATTTCTGTCGTCGCACTCACTCGTTTCGATTACAACAATTTGAATGCTTTAATGAAACTAATTGAAAGGCCAAGACCAAGTCATTGAAAGTGGCAATAAATACGGCAGATCAATGAAGAAGCCCTTAATTTAACAAATACTGTAAAGCAAATATATATACATCATGCTTGTATATAATAAATATGTATATATATATATATATATGTATGTATGTGTACATTTACGTATATTACCGCATTTCAAAGAGTGTACACACTTATACTTGTGGGTATTCACCCAAGTATTTTACATACGCACATACATACTTACATAAATCCACATACATCAGCAGCCCACTTGACTGAAGAGATTAAAAGCCTTTGGCTTTGCAAATGGCATCAAATTTCAATCGAACTGCTCATATGTATTGAGCTTACGAGCGCGTGTAAAAGACAAGTCATTTGTATGGGTAGCAATTCGTATATTGATTTGCAATGAAAGCAGAAATGTTGCTTGTTATCTACGGAGTTGTTTTTTTTTTCATCAGAAACTAGATGTAAACAGTTCTCGTAAGGTTGATCCAAGACAAGCGTAGTAAACTCATTTACATTCCTACATATTGAAGCTGTTGGCTTTTTGATCATTTTCCCGACAAAAACATTTACTGAACTGTCCAAACATACAGCTGGATGTGGTTAGATTATCTCAGATTGTAAACTTTATAGAGGAAAAAGTGCCTGAGTATCAGTACCCCAAAGTTTGCCCCCGATAATTGGCGCTAGCCACTAGGATATAAGGTCTTAACGGGTGAAGTGTGGGAAAATCTGAATTTCGGCGTCAAAAAAACTCATTCGATCTTACCATTGTGGCTTCAGATCTGACCTGCTAGAACCATTATACACCATGCGAAAATTGCTGAAAAGGTCTGCGAGAATAGGA